ATTTATTTAAAATGAAACAAGGACTTCATTGATTGTTTGACGATTTTTATCAACTTTTGATTTTTCATATCGATCTTAAGTATGATATTCTTAATGGGTTAGTGTAGTTCATTCCCCTTATTTAATTATTTCATATCAAAAAGACTAAAATTTAGATCTTGAACCGCAAGAGGGTTATGAATAAAAGTTACTTCCGGAATTCCATCAGAGTTGCTCAGCAGAGGTTAACCCTATAACATTTGTTTTATTACGTTTATTTCAATTATTTATTTCGTTATTTAAACTTCTATAAAAGGACATTTTCGTATTTCTATTATATATCCCGATTTACTTTATAAGCAATGTAAACATTAAATTCTAAAATTGATTCCGCCTATAGTCATTTATTTCAATACTTCTTCTATATTCAATCAATTCTAGGACATTACAAGTCTTCTCTCTATGCAATCAAATATCCATCAATTTTTAAATACTATTTAATTTGCAACAGCCGCTAAAATTGTTTTTCTTTTAAAATTTTATTTTATAAATTTATTTGCATAAAACAAATAGGATAAAAATCTAAAATAAATTCACATTCCTGTTTCAAATTTATTTAATGTCCAATTCAACTTAGTTTTCTGTTACTTTAAAAATAAAAATATAAATATAAATTCATAATAATAAAATTAAACGTGACTTAGATTAATTCAATTATGCATCAAATATTAAATAATTACTAAATTTTTTTTACATATCATAGAATTTAACTATAACAAAATTAAATCAAGCTCAAAACTTAATCTTTCATTAAGTAATCTTAAGGTTATATTTTTCCAACTGGTATTACATATTTCAAAATTTATCCCGCAATTAAAATGAAAATAAGATAATCATAATTAATTTGTTAATTGAATTAATTACTTAATTACATGTGAACCTCAAGAATGAGGATAAATAAATAAAAATTTTCAATCACCCAATTCAGTTTAAATTTCAAGTTAATGGAATACAAATATAATAAAAAGTTTACATCAAATAACGTTCAAAAGTTAATTTATAGTTAGTTATTTTTATATATTTATATCATTTTAATGGAAGTAGATACACTACTTTAAAACTAGAAATATATACAAAGTTGATCCAATTACATAGCAAGTATGAAGTTGTAATCAACGAAGCTAAACTTCTTTACATCAAATAATTCAATAAACTAACACTTCAAAATTTTGAATGAATCACAATAACTGTTCAAAGTAATCCAGAATTGATAGAAATATAATATCTTTTCTATGTAGAAGTTCAAATATGTTTTAAGCACTGAATCTATGAAATCAAACCATAATCATTTAACATAGTAAAAAGAATTATTGGTTCAAATTTGTTTCTATTAAATGTGGCAATTATTAGCAATCAAGATATAATGCATTGGCTTTGAACCAAGGCATGGTAGAAATTTTCCCAAGTACCAAACATGGTCCAAGTAAACACCATCACTACCTAATATCTATCCAAGGAGTCTCTGCATCATGAATCAACAAAACGCCTACTGAACACCTAATGAGTTTCAGTACAACAACGGGTATTTATCATCTCTTTGCATGGTACAAAATCCAGTTTAACAACCCTAAAACGGATTTGGACTACAAATGGATGAAACAGGCTAGAGAGACTTTCGCAAACTCACCGGAACGCAGCTTGCTCCAAAGTCACTTCCCCACGAAAGTTTTGAGGTTCTTCAGCCATTGCAAATACTCTCTACTATCTTTATATGACATGTACTCGAGTAAAAAGTTTGTTGTACTCGGTTTGATCCCTCTAATCTCAAGATATTTGTGGAATGCCTTTTGTAGATTTTCGTCCAGATCACTGGGGAAAGGAGAAGAGAAACAGAAACGTGTTAGGAAATGCTTAAAAAGGATATCAACCAATGAGAGATTTGGAAGTATAGCCAGAGCTTACTTGAAATCAGGGCCCTCATATGCAAGCTGATCTTCAGAGCCTTCTGGCTGTTTAATTGACAAGCTATCAATTGTTATCTCATCAGGATAAGCAGTAACCCCAAACTCGAGAGAGAGACCATTTCCCTTTGTTATACTCACAACCAGTGGAACACTAGATTGATATCCTTCCTCCTCATTTTTTTCATCATCCTCGTTCTCTTCTTGTTCCTCAGTTACAGTAGGCATGTCAACTTCAACTGTGATTTTTTCATCTTGGTACTGCCTTTTCAATAATATGGTTCTTTCACCGGGAGTATCTTGGATTTCAAAAGGAAACCCATCAGGCAAATCTTCTAGCTGTTGTAATATAAAAAATAAGTAAGAAGATCAAATAGAGTGTCAACGCATCTGGAATTTTCAGCTCATATACCCCCACGAGTGGAATTTCTATACCAAACAAAACTAAAGATTAAAAAAAAAATTAAATCGTCCCCCTGATAACAGAGTGGCGCTAGCTGCATATAGCCGTTTTAGATATTACAAAAAGACATAGCCTATGCTTCTTTTCCAGCCAATCTGCACAAAGAATCAACATATTTCCTAGATATTCTTCAAATTTCAGAGAGAAAAAAAAAATGACAAACCTAATAAATTTGAGTCCATTGTCAGTTTTTTTAATAGAAACTTCAAGCTGTTTGCTTTTCCCAATGGTGATTAAGAAAAAAAAATGAAAAATTCCAATTTCTGCAGCCTATTTTTCTCAGGAAAAGGAGATACTCTTATTCCCCGCTAAAAGCAAAGACGATCTTCATACATTTCCAATAACATGTTTTGACGCTCGTAGATTCAAAAAACGAAAGCAGAGAATTAGATAAAAGAGAAAATTATCAAATAGAGTGCCTAAATAATAAGATCAACAATATATCAATAATGAAGAAGAAAACAGATGAACCATATAAAGAATCTTATATAAACTGCAAATGGAGGACTTACGATTTTATGATCAGGCGATTCCTCGGTCTCAGCACATTCAATTTCAGATTGAAGGACTCCAATCAGACTCTCGTCAGAGCTATGCTTTGTGGCAGACGCCGTAGAGAATCGCATAAATGGATAGAAGCCCCCACGATGTAGCTCGCGTTCCAGAATCCGCTTCTCAACGGAGAGAGAAGAGGCGATTGCGTTGTGGAAGCTTCTCGAAGATCTAACGGCTCGAATTGCGAGAGGAGTTACGGTAGAAGCAACTCTGCGAAGCATTGAGTTCAGCGCCATTTTTTTACAAGAGAAGGTATTAGGGGTTTAGCAGAGAAGAGAGCAGGAAGGAGAAATGGCGACTGTGAAGGGTTTCGTCTGTCAGGGTTTTTATGAAGAGCAGGAGGGTTTATCTATTCTCCATTCCTAGGGTTTTATTACATTAAAACAAAAACGACGTCGGTTATATGCAAAAAGGGCGAATTGGGACCTAGTGGGGGATGATGGGCCGCGTTTACTATGCTTGCGAGATGAAGACTTTAGGTCAGTTGGTAGGTCCATATTTTTTGTCTTTTTATTTTATTTTTGGGTGAAATTATCAATTTAATTTTTAAAAGATTATTTACACCGTAATTTAGTTTTTAGAATCTTTTATTCAATTTAATCTCTGAATTTACAAATTTATTTCAAGATATAATTTGTAATTATTTGAATAACATGAAAAATGATTAAAGAAAATTTAAGGACCAAAAATCAGACAACATTAAAAGTAGCTATTCTTGGCCTCCTTTTATTTCTTAATATATGTCATTATTCTCTTTATTGTTTAAATAAAATAAATTAATTAGTTTTATTAAATTTATTGTTTAATTTTTTAGTTATTATAGGAAAAAAGATTTTATTTTCAAAATTTTATAATAAAAATATCATAAAAAATTGAAATAATTTTATAAATTCAAAAATTAAATTATAATAAAATAACATTTAGAATCTAAATGTATAACACAATGAGTAGCCCATAAAACTTAAAAAATAAAAAAAAATATATATTTTTTTTTTTGAGTAAATTTATTTTTTTGGCTAACTTTTCCTAAGTAATTTTTTGACCACATGCCAGCTTTTTAGGCTACAAATTTTAAGTTTTTAGTTATAGTAATGAGAATTTCTTTTTTTTTTTTTAAAGGTATAATTATTAATTTCACTTGCGAGAACCCCTAATTATACCTTTAATTCTAAAAGTTCAAAACACTAATAAAAAGTAAATTTAACAAAGGCTGTAATTTTGTATCGCATTTATTTCATTGCATATCATGCAATTCATTTGTTGTGAACTAAGATTGTTTGTGTTCGAATTGCAAATTTCAAATTCTCATCTCTCTTTGAAAAGAATTTAGGGTTCAAAATAACAACGCGAGGAACCGGGTGTAAGACTATTGGCACCGACAAATTCAACGTGTGCAATCCAAATTTCACCATAAGAGTAATTTATATCACAGTTCTGACTATTGCCATATGAAAATAACACATAAGACAATGTTCTAAAAATCCTTTAGCTGAGCTGATAAAAATTTTGAAAAAATATGGGGCGAAAAACCAATCCTTACTGGCCAAGGCAGGACTAAGAGATACAGAACGATACAGTTTAATGAAAATAGCCAAGAACTTGACCACCCACATTGCGACTCATGGCTTCTTCATGATCCAGAATACCATCTGGTGTTGTAATTACAACATAACCCCACTGCATAAAAGAAAAATGACAGAGAAGAGATTAAGGGAACATTTAGTTTGCTTCTAAACATTGCAACCATACCACATGCCCCCTTTTTCCGAAGAAACCTGTTTCTACATTGATGGCATAAAGAACCAAAATGAGGGAGAAAGAAAAAAAAATGACTTCGATTAAACCTGGTGTGTTGGAAGTGTGCGTATCCTGTACTGTTCGATATCCCTTGCCTTGAGGTCTTGTCTATAAGTGAGGGCACGACAATCATTTACCCTGCCTTGCAGTTCAACAGTTATCTTCCCAACTCTTTGTGGATCATGAACCTGAAAATTCTTTATGTACCCTAAGAAGAAATATACCAAGTAGATAAAACTTGTTAAAGCAACAATCAATCAATAGTTACTAGTCCCTGAACTTAATCCACAACACAGATTTTCTAGCTCCCATTCAATTTAAGAAAGTATGTCAGTGGTTCACAAATGCTCCAAAGAAGTAGTACGATATCTCCTTTATGAAGAAGAGAGTCCACTCATGCTTGTACAGTACAAGACATTCCAAGTACCGATAGGATTGAAAGATAGGCCCAGGATGAATGGGCATGTGTGCAGTGTAAACTAACTATTTAGACCCCCATCCATCATCTATGTTGTAAAAACAAATAGAAAGAATCAAAAAGTTATAGGGGGATTTAATCTATCACTAGCCAAGGATCAGGTAGAACCTTATATTGTAATAAAGTACATAAATACATGTGATATTCTCTAAAAAAAAAAAGTGATAGGATTCATGCTTGGATAGAATATCAATGAAGCCATCTTTTACTTAGACACTTCAACATTTATCATTGTAGACACACCTATCTGGTCATTTATATTTCCAGTACAATTCAAATTTATTAGGTTAAATAGAAAGTTACGGTTAATGTGTAATTTCAGTTCTTTTTCTTTCAGTTGTTTCATTAAAAATACATTCTCCAGCATTCATTTAAGAATATGAGCAGGTTTTCTTTTCAGCAAAAAGAAAGAATTAGCAAAAAGAAATTGTTGGATAATGGGGTACTATGTTTCCCAAGGTAAAATGAACTGAAACATGCCGAACTGGAGGCATAATGAGAGAGGAATGTGGTATTTTTAACAACCAGGAGATGGGGATAGGTAAGATAGCCTCATCTCTAACCTACTGCATTGCCATCATAAACACTTCTAAGCAACTTATGATGGATGGTTGGGAAAAAGTCGTTCTTATTGTCCTAAACTAACATGCGCTAACCTTAACTCGTATGAAGAACTAGTCTTTCTGGATTATTCTGGTCATCAAAGGATATCAATCTACTCTTTTTCCAAAGAAAAAAAAAGGAAATCTATCTACTTGGTTGTCCAAAAATTACTTTAAATTCGAAAAAGAGAGGTGTTCCTAGGCCGAATGCCTATGTTCCTAGAAGAGCTGCCGTATCAACAAGTACAAAGATATAAATAGCCCCTCTTGATTAGATTTCTGCTGCAACTTCACAGTTGTCACTTGAATCAAATGCGTATTAATCATCAGCTATTATCTTCTTTCAAAATAAAATAATCATATGGTATTCTTTTCAGTGATGTATATCCACCTTAACTTCCACTAGACTCCAATCTTGCTACATAAAGTGAAAATCCCAATTGTAAAATCGTAAGTTAAATTAACTCCTAAAGCCCACAAACACACACTAGCAGTAGGAGTGATTTTGCAAGTGATTTATTCACTTCCAGACAGAAACCAGTCCCTGCCAAGCATTATCAGTTTCAAAAAAGAATATGTTTCTAACCTAGCAACCACAAATAATGCTAAAGCCTCATCCAATATCGAAGTCCCACTACCAAGAAAAAGAAAAACCTAAGCATATAATGACACACAAGTTTATGGATGAATCCAGCTAAATAGACATGATAGAACTGTTATGCAGTCATTATTAAATCCTTCCAATTCGAGGCAACAAAACAAAAAAATAAATAAATAAATAAAACGAAGAAGACACAACTGTTGCTTCTCTATGCAATGGTTCATTTACATTGCTCAAAAATAAAAAGAAAAGGAAGTTACAGAAAAATAAACCTCTAAAACCCTACTGCTCACAGGCATATCTCTTCCTCAGCTTATAGAGAGATAGAATCACTACGCTGGAAACAGTCTTAACAATTCTAACCGAGATGTCAAAAACAGAGAACAAAGAAAAATAGAAATAAAATCTTCTCTCTATCAGTTAAAAATTTACCTCGTTTCTTCATGATTCCAAGGAAGGAAGACATGACAGTGGAGATAGGTTGAAGCTCTACCGTTGCCTTGTTTCTCCTCTCTGCGTTCACTATGGCCCTCAAAGCATCGTTCAGTATTCTCCTTCCCATCTCTTTCTCTCTCTTTCTCTCTCCCCTGTCACCAAGCTTAATCCGAGCTCGACCAAAATCCGTGGCTGCTCTAAGGGTTAACTTGCTTGTTCAGCTTCGATCTGTGGCCGGGCTGGGTGAACCGGTTTTCGAGTATTTTTTGCGATTCAGTAGATCCGGTTTGGTTATTTTAACATTTTTGTTTTTCAGTCTTCAAAAAATAAAATTAAGTCCCGGTATGAACTTATTTTATTTTTTAAAAATAAAATTTTAAATTTTTGTATGTTACATATTTTAAAAAATTCATAATTAATAATTCTAATCTAAGTTTTTCTTCATAAAAATTTTAATTTACATATATAAATGTATAATAGATTATCTACACATATAATAAATATATTTATGTTTTATGTAAAAAGAGTAAGATACAAGAAACTTTTAGTTTTTAATGAAATTAAAAAGGGGTTAGAGTTGGGATTAACATGTACATAACTAATAGATATAAAAAAATGTATATATATATATATATATATCACATGTAACTAATTAAATTGAACTTATAGCTTATATTTTAACAGTTCTCTTTTTTTTTGCGCAACACCAACTCATAAGCACAAAATATTTATTTAAGTTCTTAAACTTAGAACCTCCAATTTGTGAAGTGGAAAAGTACCACTTGATTACTAATTAGTTGAAAGAGAAAAGATAGTGTTTCAATAAAAGCCCAAAAATAGAGAGATAAAAAAATAATAAAATTTTATTAATTAGTAAAAACAGTTTAGAGTTTAGAATTATATTCCTTACACAGTTTGTTTAAAACCTACAATATGACTGCAATAATGCCTTTAAAGAACATAAATAAAAAGGAGTGATAAGAAAAATTAATGTGATTAACTTTGCTCGAAATTAGAAAAATAAAGAGATAACTTTCTAGTTAATTTTTTTACTGTTCAGAATTCGGATTTTATTTGTCTTGATCTGAAATGTTTAATAATAAAGGAGTGAACTACATTAATTCAGTAAGAATATCAACGTTTTACTATTGATACGAAAAATTGAAAGTTTGTAGAAATCGTAAAATAACCAATGGAGCTCATTTTTAAATAAACTTGTTTAACTAAAAATGTTAATTTTTTTACTCACCTATTAATACATTACATATTCCATAAAGAAAACAACAACAATTAACCTTTATTATTCCCACTTGCTTATCAGTGCCGCTGGGGTCCCTACTATACATGGACCAAACATTCATTCTATCAATCAAACAATCGTCCCATACCTCATCCAGTAATGAGCGTCAAACATACAACCGCCTCAATATTTCTATATGACAAACATATGAATACACATTTTAAGATGGGTACATGAATTAGAAATGCATTATATCGATAAAAATATGTTGTACACAGAATAGAGCTACTAGACAACATAGATTGAGAAACCTTACCACGTTAGTTATAAATTTAAAACAAATAAATTAAAGTAAGCAAAATAGTGAATAGATAAGCATAATAAACGATTGAAGAAATAAATACTGCAATTAAAAATCAAAATAGGTACAGACTGATTGGTTACTTGTTTCATTGACCACTTATACTTAATTAATTAAAGAACTATCAATTAACTAAAAATTTTGTTTATTATTAGTTTAACTTGAATTTAATCATAACAGAAAAAAAGGGTGAATAATTCTTATGGTCTTCTCTTATTAGTTGATCCAGAAATAAATTGATGCTTAGGGGCCGCTATGCCAAGCCAAAAGCGAGAGAAATCCCATCCCTCTCTTTCCTTTTAACCCCCCCCCCCCCCAGCACTTCACGAAGCCTCCCGAAATTTAATTTATTTATTCTTTTTCTACATGCGGAAGAAGAAAAGTTCTATTTAAAGAACAATCAACACAAGGTTACTTTACCATTTTTTCCTTTTCATGATAGATTGGCTAAACTAAGAAAAAAGAAAACAGGAATAGCATTTCAATATATTTTATTGACCAATTAGAATTGTCTCCCAAAATCTATAATTGTCTCAAAAAGTCCAATATACGTACATTATTGGACCTTTTAAATAACAGTCAAGAAGACCTTATAAAAATTGAACATTTTCGCACAGAAGATGTAAAACAGATATTAAACATTCTAGAAAAGAAATAGAAAAAACAGTTTGAAATGAATTTACCAAAAAAGAAGTTTGAAATTTAAATCCATTGGATTTATTTCATCTTTTTTTTTGGTTATTTTCTAAATAAATAACAAAAAAATATATATTGGTTTTGAACTTTCAGCACAATCCATATATTCTATTCGGATCCGAATTTAATTAAATAGATGTATCTAGGGAGAATTTGCTTTGAAGCCACTACTCCCTAGATACTAGATACCCCCGTTGTGTTTGTTATTTTACATTACAATTGAATCAATTTAATTAAAAAAGACATAAAGTTAGGGATTTATCAATCGGTAATGTTGCTCCAATACCCAACCACAATGCCACTGTGGTACCAATCAAAAAGACGGTTGTCGCTACTGGATGACGAAATGGATTTTGGAATTTACTAACATTTTCCAAAAAAGGTACTGTTAATAATCCCATGGGTACTAAAACCATTAAAAGAACATCCAATAATTTGTTGGGTAATATACGAAGTATTTGAAATACGAGAAAGAAATACAATTCAAGTAATATTTCCAAAAGAGTTGCAAATGGATCTGCGGATTCACCAATCATTGATGGCTCTAAAACTGCTAGTACACGATTTATCAATGTATGGATTATCGAAAAGAGAGGAGCCATGGTGGTCCCCCCCCTCCACCCTTGGATTACTAATCCTTAACTTTTTATACAAAGCTATTTGTAGTAGTAAAAAAGGGTATCCTTTTTAAATGTAGATTGAATATTATACATAAAATACAATTTTTTTAAATCAATTTTGGCTATATTTTTGGCATTGAGATACATCTTTCTGATAAATATGTGATAGCATCTACTATACCAAAAATATGGAGTTTTGGTGGCAACATGCTATGGGGTAGTGATCCTGCTTATGGGCTCAAATCAATACGTTCTAAGAAGAAATATTTGAATATCAATTTCATTGATATCATCGATCTCATAAGTATCAACCAAATCCCATCAATCGAATCACTTTTTTGAGAAACACGAGACATCTAATTTATACAAGTAAAGAGATCTATTCATTGATAAGAAAAATAAAAAACGTGAGCAGTGATTGGATTGATGATAAAATAGAATATTGGGTCACGAACAGTGATTCAATTGATGATAAAGAAAGAGAATTCTTGGTTCAGTTATCCACCTTAACGGCAGAAAAAATGATTGATCAAATTCTATTGAGTTTGACTCATAGTGATCATTTATCAAAGAATGACTTTAGTTATCAAATAATTGAACAATCAGGAACAATTTACTTACGATACTTAGTTGACATTCATAAAAAGTATCTAATGAATTATGAGTTCAATACATCCTGTTTAGTAGAAAGACAGATATTCCTTGCTCATTATCAGACAATCACTTATTCACAAACTTCGTGTGAGGCTAATAGTTTTCATTTCCTATCTCATGGAAAACCCTTTTCACTCCGCTTAGCCCTATCCCCCTCTAGGGGTATTTTAGTGATAGGCTCTATATTTTTACGTTATTTTGACATAAGTTTTGATTTTAGCAGAAAACCTCAAGAAATCCAGAAACCAAGAACCACCGAAAAACGTAGTGAAAAAGGAAGAAAATTGAAGCTTACCGGTGGTTATGACTTTTCGGTGCAGTGGCTTTGTCAAGTTCTGTCGTTTCTTCCTCACAATCGCGGCTCTCCTTCAGCTACCCTACACCGAAAAACACGTTAGATGGCCTAGGGTCGAGAAGCAGAAGGAACAGGAAAGGACTTCGGGTTCACCAGAGCATTTTTTAGTTTCAGGTGCAGCGGCTCAGCTGAGCTTCACCATCTGTTTACGATTTTTTTTTAAGTTTTCCTGCATCAAGAAGTGTTTTGAGTAACTTAGAATGAAAAAACGGGACGAATATGAGAAAATTGCACTTACTAGCATCAACTTAGGCATCCGGTGCGACGACGATAGTGGTCGGCTTCTCCCAACCATCTTTCTTCTTCTTCTTCTCCAGCGAGCAGGTGTGCGATTAGGTTTAGAGTTTCGATAGAAGAGGAGTTTAAATATTCTCCTTCTCTCGATCTGATCACGTTTAATAGGAGAATAAATCTGGGCCGTTTGGTCGAATGCATGTGGACTATCTGATCGTGCCTAATGAGGGAATGGATTTGAGTTGTTCGTGCGCGCGAGAGTGAACACGGATCGTTAGATTGGTTGGCACACGGATTGCCCGCGTGGCTTCTCGTGTGGAAGGCGTGCTGGCGTGTCTGCCACGTGGCGCACGATGATTGGCCGTGCTGTTGACATGGTCGTCCTACGTGGCAGTTTTTTTTTTCTTTTTGTATTTTGGCCCCAGTTTTTAATTTTTCTTTTCAAATGGGTCCTCTCTTATTTACAGTTTGGCTCATTTCTTTTGAAATTGTTTTCAAAAATATCCGAAATTCATATATTTAAAGAAAAATTCTAAAAAATTAAAATTAAATATTTTTGTTATTATTTTTAAAATTAATTTATGTCATCCCGAGCCTAAATTTCGGACTTGGGATGTTACATTTTTGTATGTAATCCGATAATTGAAAAGTACCACAATGCAGGTAACTCTTATAGCATTTACACTCTGTTTGTTTGGTGGTAAACGATAGTCAATTAATATATATTATTCCGCGGGCATGATAAATTCTATTTGTTTCCACTTTTAATTTGATAGAATGGATATTCGAATGACAAATTTGACATTAATTTTAAAAACTACTAAATCGGTGGTATTTAACAGGTAATAATTTTCTTTACGTTATGCCCTTATAAAATATGTTTAATTTTCGTTATACCTTCCTAAACAAAATAAATAATTATTATTTATTTAAATACAAATTTAATTATATTTTTATATAATTTTTTTTACATACTTTTTATAGATTATTTACTATTATATATAATAAATTATGAGTAAATTAGTAATTTGACTGAAAATACAAGCATATCATTCTATTATCCAAACAAAACAGTTGTCATTAACATACATTAATATACAATCATTTAAACATAAAAATATTTTGTCATTGTTATATATTAATTATCCATCATTAAAATTCATCCAAACAAGACGTTAAGAATAAGCAAGATCTAATCCAAAAGTTGAAATAATATAAAATAAATGTAAATTTTATCAACCCACTTTGAATCCAAGATGTGATGAGGTTTCTGTAATACATAGCTTGATCAAATTCATACTTTGTAAAAGCTCCGACACCGACTCGTTATCATCCTTACCAAAATTACTATTTTCGTTATTCATTTTTCTTCTATTACAATCATTTTCATTTTCTTTTCTTACGTTTATGCAACTGGTGTTCATAGAGACTCAAACTTATCTAAGAGTTCATCATGTGTTCTGCGCATTTCAACTTAGACTCTTAATATGTTCAAATTCAATTCCTAACATAATATAGTATCACCATGGCTATATCTATGGCTGTACCGGTTTAAAATTTGAAAATCAGAAACAAAGGTCCAATAATGATCAAATTCAAAAGGATTAAATCGGGAGAATTTTTACTGTAGCCAAATAAGATATATCCATCCATTCATTTGATTATTCGAGCGCCAATAACATCTTGGCAGTTCAATCCAAAATATTATGCAATGCAGCAATAGTTTAACAGCAGTTCATTGAGAAGGCCAGATAGGACCACAGAAAAACTGGAGATGTCTGTAAACAGTTAGTGAACTCATTCACCTACATGCTTCAACAAAGTTGTCAAGCACAAATAACCATTTGAGTATAACTGTAGGTATCTCCATATCCACTGTGTGATTTATTAGATCTCACCATCCCAGAGTTCTTCAAGAGACCTATATTCACCGAAAGTCTCATGAAAAAATGAAGTCCCTCTTAGTAATCTTGCCTGCAAAATTGACAAAAAAACCAATGACATAGTTCTGCTTAGGAGCATTTATAAAACAAACGTGCATAATACTTGTAAATCATACAGGAGATTAATTTGTGTCAAGCACAAATATAACCCTATATATTTATATATAAGAAGAAATTGCATCAAAAGCTTTAGATAATATAAATTGTAGCTAACAAAGTCACTAAAATTTACTTGCCTGTTCCATTTCAGAAAACTTGGCAAATAAGTCATCGGGAATAGACCAGGTAAAGACATCAAAGTTTTCCTTGATTCTATCTTCATGGATACTCTTAGGAAGCACACTATGTCCCATTTGCAGGCCCCAGCGAATTGCTACTTGTGCAGGACTCTTGCCAAGTTTATCTGCTACCATATTCAGAAGTGGATGCTTCAGAACATTACTCTTGAGCCATATTGACCCAGGAGAACCCAATGGTGAATATCCCTGAAACATTTTTGTGGTTAATAAAATCTTTGTCTGAGATAAAGAAACAAAGAGCTTGGAGATTTTTCCTATCTCATCACTATTCACTCAAATGGAAAGTTAACACAGCATGTACTGCTGAAGATATGCCTACTCACAGATAGGTAAACTCCCTTGGATTTACAAAATTCATGTAGCTTGGCCTGCTGCCACGAGGGATGGCACTCAACCTGGTTGACAGCAGGCGGAACACAAGCCACATCCAGCAAATCACCCAGTTTCTTCCAAGAGAAGTTGCTCACACCAATTGCACGAGCCTTACCAGAATCATAAAGTGCTTCCATTGCTTTCCATGTGCTAGGTATATCAGTTGGCACAAGGTTTTCAGGCTTGAAGCCAATTGAACCCTTCTTCATCCGAACAGGCCAATGGATCTACAAGAAAGCCAGCCCATGTTAGTTTCAACTGAATATTGTTCTTGAGAGCCCCACCACAAGCGTAATTAGATAGTGATTAAGAGTGTCATATGCAAAACTCTACCAGCATGGATATCACACGATCGGACATCTATTGGAGAAAACTCCTGGACCATATTTTTAGGAAAGAATTGGAGAATTAGTTTGATCAGACAACACATACAAGATATAAATCCACATAATCCAGCTGCAAGTCCCACAAAGTTCTGTCCAATGCCTCTGGCACATCTTCCGGTGCATGATCAGTACACCTGATAATACACACAATTAATACTGTTTCAAATTAGAACAGACACTTGAAAGCAGGCATGTAGAAACAAGGAATCATAAACCAACCGCAGTTACTAGTAATTGTTATATATTAAGCCTCTGATTCAAATGAAAAGAGAGAACAAACCAAAGTTTAGACGTAATAAACAGATCCTCTCGTTTCACTACACCATCTTCAAACAGCTTCTTCAGTACTAAACCAATCTGCATGACATGACATTGATCATAGATTCACATACTGGAGAATAATGAAATTGAAAAACAAGGATTCAAAATTAAGCTTGTCAATAATTGAATCACAACATTAACAGAATTAAGCACCCTTATAACTGCTTTTTGATATGGTTTTCGGATGATTTAATTCATAGACAAGGAAGCAATATACATAGATGTCTACACAGGATAGATATTGCATGTAATATTTGAAAGGAAGAAAGTATATCTTAATCAGGTTTATATATTTTTATCTTAGTTAAAGTCCTCATCCACTACCATCTCTAATCACAATATCTAGGTTTAGCTCAACTGTATTTTAACAAAAGAAACAAATGAAAGAATCTGTATTGCTAGTGGCAGATTCAATCCAAGTTCATGATGCAGTATGGGTAAAGACTTAGAGCCACGGAGAAAACTGATAATGAACTTTAACTCACCTCTTTTTCGTTGCCATAGATTTGAGCACAATCTATATGGCGGTACCCGACCTGCATTGAGGTAGAAGGGGCTAAGTTGATGACTGAAGTTTAGACTTGTATAAATAATTGATACCAAATTGTCAGAGCAAACAAGGACGACATCTATTTATTTCTCTGGATATGACAACTTTGTTCCTAGAAGACTTAATTGAAGCATCAAACACCTAGCTGATTACTTACCCACGTGTTCACAAATGCCTTTGAAAAATAATTCATTTTTTTTCTAAAAAATATTTAGTAAAGCAATGAATAGGATAGGTATTGAATTAAAATGATAATTTGGCACAAAAGCAAAACATAAAACAAACATATCAGTTGAATACCAGCCAATAAATATCTCATTTTTACCAATATTGAATGAAATAGAAACCTAAATTTTTTATTTCCCCTGAAACTCGAGAACAAAAAAGAACCCATTACTGCAGAAAATTAATGTTCCCAAATTTATCTTCCATTATAATGATAATAGCAAGTGAACTCCTTAATGCGACTATCATTCATCAAAAAATGAACCATCGTGGAACAAACATCAAACAAGTAGTGGCATGAAACAATTCTTAAACATAAAACACCCTAAACGCACTGATATTTTTTTATCTGTTTATACATGAAGAAGATGAAGAATTTAAAGTAAGTTCAAAGAGTACCAAAATCCATGCAATGGAAAACTGATAGAGTAAGCAGTTGGGACTTGGACAAACATACATGCACCTGCGAAATGAGACCTATATCTGTGTGTTAAATTTATACGTTTCTGTATCGTGGATATCTAAAGTGTGATAATTTAGTCTAATCACCCAAAACAATATTTCTCCGATGAACTCTGAGAAATTTCGTGGAATTCTGGTCCTATGGTGCAGAAACTTCGCAGTTAACAAAATCCATTTCAAGCAAATCAATGAAAACTACTCCAAATACGTATTTCAATCTCGCTTAAACGATTATTTAAACAAAAATGACAACCGAAGCAACCAATAGGCAAAGCAAACAAAAAGAGACCTTAATGGCAGAAGCCACGGCCTGACCGACGACACCGGGTTCAGACTGCCAGGTGCCGAGTCCGACGGAGGGGATCTTAGCGCCGGTGTTCAACTCGAAGAAGCGAATATCCTTGGCCATTACTGAGGTCGACGGCAACGCGATTTGAAAGAGGGGGAATCTCAAAGGACGAGTTGACAGAGAACGTGAGAGACTACGAGAGCAGAGACTGGCAGTATTTATTCGATTAGAATCGCCCCTTGGAAAAGCGGGAGTTTTGTTTTCTTTTGGCTTATTCTTATTGTCGTGTAACACGTGTCGTACTGAAGTTTAATTCCTATTTATGGGTTTTTTTAAT